TTATGTTGTCCAGCATATGCCACCGTTAGGTTAATTTGTAGCTATTGGTGGTGGCATTGGGTCAAGAGTCCACATAGCAGGCAGATTACATACATACACAGCTCAAGTGGTGAGTGAGGTGTGACTACTGTCACATTTCAGTGCCTGCCTGGACCTGATGACTTAAAGGGGCTCACATTCCTCAGATGAAAATTTCCTTTCTGGCCCGGACTGGTGGCTCACACCCGTAATCCCAGAATTTTGGGAAGCCAATGTGGGAGGACCACTTGAGGCCAGGAGTTTGAGACCCGCCTGGGCAACATAGTGAGAACTTGTCTCTACAAAAAAATAAAGTTAGCCGGGCGTGGTGGCGCATGCCTGTAATCCCAGCTGCTCAGGAGGCTGAAGTGGGAGGGCTGCTTGAGCCCAGGAGGTTGAGGCTGCAGTCAGCTGAGGTTGTGCCACTGCACTGCAGCCTGAGTAAGAGTGAGATCCTGAGAAAGAAAGGGAAGGGGAGGGGAGGGGAGGAGAGGGGAGTGCATTGGTGGGAGGGGAAGGGAAGCAGAGAAAGAGGAAGGGGGGGAGAGAGAGAGAGAGAGAGGAAGGAAGGAAGGAAGGAAAGAAAGGGAAAGAGAAAGATTCCTTTCTTCCTCAGAGACAAATGCTCAGTGAGTTTTTTTTTATATATATACTTTAAGTACTAGGGTACATGTGCACAACGTGCAGGTTTGTTACCTATGTATGCTGTGCCATGTTGGTGTGCTGCACCCATTAACTCGTCATTTACACTAAATATTTCTCCTAATGCTATCCCTCCCCCTCCCTCCACCTCACGACAGGCCCCGGTGTGTGATGTTCCCTGTCCTGTGTCCAGGTGTTCTCATTGTTCAGTTCCCACTTATGAGTGAGAACATGCGGGGTTTGGTTTTCTGTCCTTGTGATAGTTTGCTCAGAATGATGGAATGGTCAGTGAGTTCTATCCTAGGTGTTGCTGGGTGAAGGGAGGGGTCACACAATCATGATAGAATCCCATCTTTAAGGAGCTTAAAATTTGGTCATGGAATAAGATGGACAGATGGGATGATGATTTTAGGATTGACCCTCCCACAACAGGCTGCCCCGTCTCCATTTGGTGATGCCCGGTCCATTGCTGCTGTTGCCCTCTCTTCTCCTTAACACTCTGGGATTGTTGGTAGCTGACTCTCTCAGGACAGCTTTTAGGGTTTTCATTTCTCAGAAAAGTTGTTTCTGACTATGGAGAAACAAGAAATATTGTAGCAATGAATAGAATTCTCATTCCTATGCAGGCATAAAAAGGATGGGTCTTCCCCCCAAAACTTTAAAGAATCGTGTCAGAAATCGTATCGGGCCAAGCCAGAGGGGCCATCCTTTGCGGAGGCCGCAGAGGTGTCCATGCAACACACACAAATGCCTAGGTGGTGAAAGCAGCAGAGGGTGGGGTCTTTAATTTTTATGTTGTTTTGTGTTGTTAACAACATTGTACTATATAAAGGACAGAAATTTATTTCCACAACTATTTCTACTACATATAAATTGCTATGTGATAGATAAGAAAATTATTAGGTAAGGAAAAGCAATCAATTTTTAATTATTCTGGGAGACACAAAACAAAAGACTTTAAAACAATAGTCATCAGCAAATCATTTCTTTTTTTTTTTTTGAAACAGAGTCGGCTCACTGCAACCTTCGCCTTCTGGGATCAAGCAATTCTCCTGCCTCAGCCCCCTGAGGATTACAGTCATGCGCCACCATGCCTGGTTAATTTTTTGTGTGTATTTTTAGTAGAGACGGGATTTCACCGTGTTGGCCAGGCTGGTCTCAAACTCCTGTCCTCAAGTGATTCACTCCCAAAGTGCTGGGATTGCAGGTGTGAGCCACTGCACCTGCACGTTTCTTTAGTTACATCTTACTTAATGATGGAGGAGGCACATGCCTCATAGCTCAGGGCATGGCAGCCAAAGAATCCAGTGGTATTTGGAGCAGTTTCTTCCAGTTCAGCTTAGTTTAATAAACAGGTAGGAATGTTGACTTTGGCCCAGGTCCTGGGGATATAATGATGAAAAGATAATTCTGCGTGGTAAGCTCTTTGGCTTACAGGACAACTGGGAGTGATCCTGCATTCAATGGGTCAAGCCCACCTCCCCTTGGGGAGCCTTAAGAAGCCTCATCCTGGGGGGGATTGTGTATGGCCTTCCTCCTAGATGTGTGTGGAGGATTAAATCCGTGAGCGTGTCTGAGTCATTGGTGCAATGCCTGGAGCAGGATAGGTCCAGCGAGGTTGGATGTCGGCATGTAATCCCAGATACCCCACCTTCCACAGCTGTCCATCAGTGTTTCAAGGGAAAGTGATCTACACAGTTTTATTAAAAAAACAACAGCATCAACTTGTGTGTGGAGTGGGGAGTCTTTTAAAATTAGCAAGGTAAGGCTAGAATGATGTCTATCTGTGCAGAAACTGTCTTGAAACACTAGGACAGTGTCATGGGCTGAATTGGGTTGTCCTTCATTCCCCTCAATTCATATGTTAAATTTCTAACCTCCGGTATCTTGGAATGTGATTGTATTTGGAGACAGGGTTTTTACAGGGGTAATTAAGGCAAAATGAGGTCATTAGGTCATCCAGTATGACTGGTGTCCTTATAAAAGGGGTAATTTGGACACGGACAAGTACAGAGGGAAAGACACTAAAGAGCTACAGAGAGAGGAGGGCCATCTGCAAGTTAGAGAGAGAGGCCTGGAGCATGTTCTCTCTCTGAGTCCCAGGAAGGTACCTACCTTACTGACACCTTGATCGTAGACTTTCAGCCCTCAGAACTGAGACAATAAATACCTTTCTGTTGTTTAAGCTGCCCAGCCTAAGGTACTTTGTTATGTATGGCAGCCCTAGACAGTTAATACAAATATTAATATCAACAATCAGTCACAATGATTCCTTTTGGGTTTTTAAATGCAAATGAGATGAACACCAGAGATGATTTTCTCTTTAGCTGAATCACATGAGGATTCTGAGTCAGGTTTATATTTTTAATAAGTTAAAACATTTTGCCTTCCCCTTTCCATCCTCTGGTTGTGGTCATCTGATTTAAATAACATCCGCTTTCTTTTAGAATGAGAACAAAGCCGTTACACTCATATAGAAAATACACTCTTCTCACCACCTGTTTTGGGGGATTAGTGATAGTTTAAAAATTAAGTGCAACTCAAGTTGTGGCCAAGCAAGGCCGACTGACTTCCTGAGATGTCAGGATCCTGTTCTTGGGGCCACCTCATTTGCTTGCATGGCTCCAGGGAACACCTTTCACATTGGGTGTGACTGGAGCATCATCCTTGAAGGTGGGTGACTCTGCAGCCCTGCCTACCCTCCGGTGACACGGAAAGTGTTGTTGATATCAGTTTTAATTCGGAGGAACTCTACACAAATGTCTTGGGTACTCCTATGTGCTGAATACTGTGGGAAGACCATTCTTCAAGGAGTTTACGATCCACTCCAAAGGTGGAAGGGCAAGTCCACCTTCAATATGGCATAGAACATGGTAACAAAATAGGTGTGTAAAGCCCTTTTGCTACTTAGAAACACTTTAGATCCATTTGACTATTTGAATTTTTCCAGTTTTCTTGAGGTATAGTTGACAAACAAAAATTGTATACATTTGCAATGTACAATGTGGTGTTTTGATATATGTCTTAGTCCATTTTGTGCTGCTATAACAGAATGCCACAGACTGGGTAATTTATAAAGAACAGAAATTTATTTCCTCACAGTTCTGGAGGCGGGGAATCCAAGATTGAGGGTCTGGCATCTGGTGAGGGCCTTCTTGCTGCTTCATCCCATCGTGGAAGGTGGAAGGTGGAAAGCAAGAGAGGATGAGAGAGAAAAGAGAAGGCCCAACTTGTCATTTTATAAGGAACCCACCCCCCAGATAAATGCATTAATCCATTCATATGGGCAGAGCCCTCATGACCTGATCACCTCTTAAAGGTCTCATAAATTACAACATGAGTTTGGGAGGGGACAAACATTCAAACCATAGAAATACACAGATATATTGTGAAATGATCACATAGTCAAGGAAATTAACATATCCTTCACCACATATAGTTATCATTGTGTGTGTGTGTGTGTGTGTGTGTGTGTGTGTGTGATGAGAACATTCAGGATCTACTCTCTTAGCAAATCTCAAGCATACATTCTCATGAACTTTTGTCACCATGCTGTACCTTACATTTCCAAAATGTGTTAATTTTGAGTAACTCAAATTTTTCTTCTTTGAGGTGGAGTCTCAGTTTGTCACCCAGGCTGAAATACAGTGATGTGATCTCAGCTCACTGCCACCTCCACCACCTGCGTTCAAGTGATCTTTCCACTTCAGCCACTCAAAGTACTGAGATTACAGGTGTGAGCCACCATGCTCAGCCCATAATTGAAACTTTATACCCTTTGACCAACATCTCCCCATTCCCATGTTCCCCACCCCCTGGCAAGCCCCCTTCTACTCTCTGCTTTCATGAGTTCTACTAGTTTAGATTCCAAATATAAATGAAGTCATTCCGCATTTGTCTTTCTGTGCCTGGGCCTGGCTTATTTCACTTAGCATAATGTTTTCTAAGTTCATCCATGTTGTCAAAAACGACAGGATATTCTTTTTTTTTAAGATTGGATAATATTCTACCAGTTATATGTACACCACACTTTCTGTAGCCACTCATTCATGGACAGACACTTGGCTTGTTGTCACATCTTGGCCGTTGTGAATAGTGCTGCAGTGAACATGGGAGTGTAGATACCACTTCAGGGTAAGGATTTAATTTCCTTTGGAGATATATCCAGTAGTGGAATTGCTGGATAGTATGGTAATTCTATTTTTAATTTTTTGCGGGACTTCCATACTGTTTCCCCGAATGCTTGTACTAATTTAAATTCCCAGCAACAGTGTGCGGGTGTTCCCTTCCTCCACATCCTGACCAGCCCTTGTTATCTTGATTATTTGTTGTTGTTTTTAAAATTTATTTATCATGCGATTTGATTTTTAGAACAACTGTAAGCCGTGGGCAAAGCAGAAGCCATTACCTTCTTTTCACAGATGGGGAATCGAGGACAAAGAGATTTAGAAACCTGCCTAATATTCCACTAGACACTTGTCTAAGATCACACAGATAGTAGACTTAAATTTAGATGTCTGATGACGCAGAGACACAGACAACAGGAAGAGGATGGAGGTTAAACCCAAAAGCTCAAGCAAAGGGCTGCTGAGCTGAGAATCATCAAGGCTGCAGCATGCGGAAGGGCCTGCATGAGCGACCGTGCGGAGAGAGAAGACCCGTAAGACAGTTACCGGAGGGACCAGCCCAGACAGAGAAGGGGCAAGGGACAGAGCCATTGGGCTGGAGCCATACAGAAGAGGAGTTGGAACTTTTTCCAGGACCATCATTTATTATCAGTGGAGTCACATGATGTCCTCGGAGGCTGGAACACTGTTTAGTCCTTTCTCATCTTCCCGGAACCTAACCTGATACTTGGCTCTGTAGTAGAAAGTGCACAACAAATGTTTACTGTCCAAACCAGAGGCGATCTCTGGCTCCGAGGATGATCTGGCAGCAGAAGGAGGCTGGTTTGGGTGTGGGGGAAGAGGCAGGGTGGGTCGAACAGAGGCGGGGCCGTGAGAAAGGGGCATTCACTTGGAGAACCACTGTCAGTTGGAGAAAACAAACCAAATTATTTTTCCCAGGCCTTGAGGCAGAACTCTCTTTTTCTAGAAGCATGATAAAAGAAAGAAGGGGCCAGGCACAGTAGCTCATGCCTGTAATCCCACCACTTGTGGGAGGCCGAGGGGGGCAGATCACGAGGTCAGGAGATCGAGACCAGCCTGACCAATGTGGTGAAACTCTATCTCTACTAAAATTGCAAAAATTAGCCAGGCATGGTTGCGTGCGCCTGTAATCCCAGCTACTCGGGAGGCTGAGGCAGGAGAATCGCTTGAACCCAGGAGGCAGAGGTTGCAATGAGCCGAGATTGTGCCACTGCACCCCTCTGGGGGGCCAGAGCGGACATGTTTCTCAAAAAAAAAAAAAAAGAAGTAAAGGAAATAGAGAGGGAGGGAGGGGGAGGGCGAAGGGGAGGGAGAGAAGGGGAGACAGGAAGAGAAGCAAAGATAGCAATTCTTAAGCCCTGTTATCTATTACTTACCCTCGCCTTGGCTGCAAACACAGCTGAGTCCTAATGCAGACGTTTCCAAATCCCCTCTCCCGCCTCAACAGTGATCTCTCCTCCCACTTCGAGAGTTTAATTCAGTGCTGCTTTCACTTTATGCCCCCATGAAAACAGGAAAACAGTTTGCAGCTTTATCATAACCTTGCTTATGTCTGTTGTTCTGTGTCTCAAATACCCTGTCCTCAGGGCGGCCCACCAGCACTGGCCGGCCTCCAAGCTCCCGGGCCTCTGCTCACGTACAGCTCCTGACCTGCCCTGCCTCTGAGTTACTGTGGGTCCCTGCCCACTCGAGAGCACACAGCCAGTCTCACCCCCAATTTTAAAATGGCAGCCCCCTTGCCTTTTTTTATAGACAGGTGCTTTCCCATCCTGAAGTGACTTTTTGGTGAACAGGTCATAAAGTTTCCTGTCATGGCATGGGGTGGAGGGGACAGCCCTCAGAGAGGGGTGTGGGGACCGTGGCTGGCGGTCACACGTCACACTGGTCCCTCCCACCTACAGCCTTGCCCTCTGCAGATGACTCAGGTGGGGAAAGCTCAAAAGGAAGGCCACAGTCTGGATGCCCCACCCCACACGCAGAGTCCAGCTCTTCAGGGAAAGCAAGCAGGGGATGCTTCAGGGGACTTTGCTGAGGCCAACCTTAGGCATCTTTTTTGAAAAGACATTTGTGCCCCTTTGCTCATTTTTTTCATGATCAAGGCGGGTCCTCCCAGGCTGCCCTTGGTGGACCCCTTTCCTTGTACCCCGCCAACCTTGTCCTCTGGCTTCCAGCAGGTCCACTCCTCTTTCCTGCTTCCTAAACCTCGCTCAGAGCCTGCAACCCTCTCGCCCTGGCCCAAACTCCCAGACACAGATTTGGAGCAGCACAGCCAATGCTGTTTTCTTTATGTGACTTCCTGGGACACTGCTTAGTGCCTCCTCCCACGTCTTCCTCGGGCTCCAGCATCTCTCAGGGCTCACAGAGGCCCCTCTTTCTCCAAGGGGACTTCTTGGTCTGTTTCACAGGCCGGGAGTGTTCAGATACATCCCTGCCGTGTGTTTCTTCCACAGCAGTCTGGCCTGCCCATGAAGAGCCTCCGTGTGAGCAAATTGAAAATAGGGCTTCCGGCCCCAACCTTCCATGGAAACGGCTGTGGTTTCAGTCTCCATAAAGGTTACTTGCTCTCTTTCTGAAAATCCAAAAGGACAGTGTTAACTCTGTCCAAATTGCACTGGCCATTTGGTCTTAGTGTAAACTTTTTGGACCATGTTTCATTTTCATTTTGAGATGAAAGAAAATATCAAAGCCTCCTAGCATTTTGAAAGTACTCAAATATCAAGTGCAAAACTGCTGATGGGATCAAAGATGCCGACTAAATTCTTGGCCAGTAAGATAAGACTCTTTCTTGTCAGCTGACCAGCAATACGTGAATATGTGCAGGGTAGCTGATAATCTATGAAATTATCAGCCGGGCACAGTGACTCATAGCTGTAATCTCAGCATTTTGGGAAGCCAAGGTGGGCAGATCACCTGAAGTCAGGAGTTTGAGACCAGCCTGGCCAACATGCTGAAACCCTGTCTCTGCTAGAAATACAAAAATTAGCCAGGCGTGGTGGCGGGCACCTGTAGTCCCAGCTACTTGGAAGGCTGAGGCAGGAGAATGGCTTGAACTCCGGAGGTGGAGCTCCCAGTAAGCCGAGATCGTGCCACTGCACTCCAGCCTGGGCAACAGAGTGAGACTCCATGCCCTGTGGGTAAAGACCCCAGATAAAGATGCCTAGAGAGAGAGAAAAAGAAAGTAAAAAAAGAAATTACCACCAATTAATGGGTTACTTGAAATGAACTTGATCCTTGTCTTAAACCAGCAGTGTGGTACAGGAAACTTGAAGATTCTTGAGCTGCAGCTCCATTTTGATTTGTAGTTTTTGTTGCAATACACACCTCTCTACTAGGCACAGGTGACACATGGGATCTTGTGTCAGGACATGTGGGGGCCCTGTACAGAGTCCAGACCTTGAGGTGCCAGGCAGCAGAGCCTGTGGCTGGGAGTGAGGGTGCGTGGGGCTTATGTTGGGCCTCACAAAGGGCCTCAGAGTTAAAATGTTAAAAGTATTTCCTAGTGATCTTACTATACTTAGAGTCTCAGAGACAGATACACTGAAAAGATGGACAGAAAAGGATTACTTTAACGATAAAAGCTAAGCTCATGTTCCATGAAAGAAATGCCATAAGAATGTTTTCTAAAGCCTATGCTTAACTTCGGAATAGCACAATTAGATTGCATTGCATTTTTGAAAGATCACTTGTTAAATACAAAATTTTAAAACATACCACAATGTTTGGCACTTCATTTTCTTTATTAAACAAGGAGACTCAGAAAATCATGGTGGCCTGGGCCCATGTGAACCTCTGTCAAAGCCTCCCACAGCGAGAGAGGACTCGGATGCCATGGTCCTCAGTGGGAATGCGGGGAGCAGTGTAGGCCTCGGTGCTGACCCAATGCTGGGGTCCTAGGGCTCTCTCCTCTTTTCTTCCAGGTGGAAAATAAGCTTATATATGAAGAAGTCAGCGAGTGGACAGAGCCAGGTGCAATGGATAGCAAAGATATGGAAGTGTCTTCTCAGTTCAAGTTAGAAGAAAGCTGCAGCATGGCGTCTGCTCTCAGCTGTTTGGGAATTACTGATGCCTTTTTTTTTTTTTTTTTTTGAGACGGAGTCTTGCTCTGTGCCCCAGGCTGGAGTGCAGTGGCGCAATCTCGGCTCACTGCAAGCTCCGCCCCCCCGGGTTCACGCCATTCTCCTGCCTCAGCCTCCCGAGTAGCTGGGACTACAGGCGCCCGCCACCTCGCCCAGCTAATTTTCTTGTATTTTTAGTAGAGACGGGGTTTCACCGTGTTAGCCAGGATGGTCTCGATCTTCTGACCTCGTGATCCGCCCGTCTCGGCCTCCCAAAGTGCTGGGATTATAGGCTTGAGCCACCGCGCCCGGCCTACTGATGCCTTTTTCTAAGCCAAGACTGACTTTTCCAGAATATCACCCAAGAGATAGAGCCGTCCCTGTCCAAGTTTGTGTGCTAGCCCTTCATGGAGGTCAGAGAGGAAGGCACAAAGGCAGCTGTGGCCTCGGTGGTCACGGTGTCAGAACGCGCAAGCCCCATAGAGAAGTTTCACTCAGGCCACCCATCCCTTTTCGTTCTCCAGCACAATAGGACAGAGAGCGTTCTGTTCTGCGGAAGATTCTCCGCTCTACAAGGCAATCCCTCCAGCTGCTTTGCTGTATTGTGCTGTCTCCTGTCACACTGTGAATGCAGTGACCTCAGCCAGCAGCAGGGAGAACCCCCTGCCCCCTGAACAAAAGACCTCATGTGAAATCCTGAGCTCAGAGCTTACAGATGTGTGCACTTTCACTTTACACAGGCCGTGACTTTCAAACAACTTCAGGAAACTTTAGGATCTCTGGGGTACACTGGAGATTACAGCAGCGTAGAATGTTCATTTGGATTTAGAAAGAAAATGCTTATTTTATATTTGGCCGCTCCCAAACTGTTCTCAGACTTCCTCTCCAGTGATTACCCCTCCACTGCCCTGGGATTCACACCCTCACCCTAACAAAGTCCTCCACGGGGTCAAACCATACATTGCTTCATCTCTGTAGTGACGACTTCCTGTCCTCTGCCCTGTGGGTAAAGACCCCAGATAAAGATGCCTCTGTTGCTCAACTCTTGTAAATACATTCGAAACATTTTGAAAGCAGAAGGAAAGGAGACAGAGGATGTGGGAAAATAAAAGGGATGATCTGCTCGTTCGGAAACATTTTGAGAATGCCCTTTCCTAAGAGAGAACAGTCAAAGTGAACAATACTTCCTGGACTGGGCTTCGTACGGCTGGACTGTGCAGTTTCTCACGGGAGAAGTTCTCGTCTCCCCTGCGTGCATGTCCCTGTTTGCCAGCCTGGCCTTCGGTGCGGTGGTATCACGGTGCATTCCCAGGAGGGAAGTGCTTGGCCAAACTTCTGCTCGGGTTCGACTCTCAGTTCTGGTTTCCTTTAAGGTACAGGATCTTCCCTTTAAGGCACAAACACCCCCTTGACACAAAGTAGGGGACAAGGGAACTTTAAACCGTTTGGAAACCCAAGCGCAATAGGCTGTAGGTTATAAAAAGAAATTACAAAGGTAATTTTACCTGGAAGAGGGAGCAGTTTAACTTCTGTAGGGTAAGATTCAGATTCACTTTGGTAACTTTACAGGGAATTTTCTAAATGTTTTGGAAATGCCGAAACATTTACTATCGGTATTTCACAGAAACATTCAAAGTTCCCTAATGTTAGGTTCCGCTGTGATCACTCCCAAGGCTGCTAAACAACCTCAGTAATTAGCTCGATTGGGGAAACGAAACTGTGGGAGACTCGGGGCTTTCACTCCCCATGATAGGGAGACCAGGCAGGAAATATTGTCTCCTCAAGTTGCAACTAGACAGTATTTCTTGCCTGGTTTCCCTGTCATGGAGTCCTGGTTGGACTCTGCTGTGCGTCTCTTGATGAAATGTGATACTAGCAGCTGAACAATTAAGAAAATGGATGGTGGGTTGTGGAGCGGTTTGTCACTGCTGGAGTTGCGGAGGCGCAGTGGGGGAACCTGAGAAACGCTGCGTCCCCCAGGTCATCACCACGTCAGCACTGATTAGTCATGTTGATGGCATGTACCCTGGATGTGACATGGCACTTGACCTCTGTGCCTTTCCCTGAAAAAACAAAACCCCTGTCTAACCATGAGAAAAATATAGGGCAATGGTGCAGGCGGGGCGTTTCAGGAGAGGGTCAGGGAAAGGGGAGGGGTCCCAGGGGAGGGTCAGGGAAAGGGGAGGGGGTCCCAGGGGAGGGTCAGGGAAAGGGGAGGGGGTCCCAGGGGAGGGTCAGGGAAAGGGGAGGGGGTCCCAGGGGTGGGTCAGCGAAAGGGGAGGGGGTTCCAGGGGAGGGTCAGGGAAAGGGGAGGGGGTTCCAGGGGAGGGTCAGGGAAAGGGGAGGGATTCTAGGGTAGGGTCAGGGAAAGGGGAGGGGGTTCCAGGAGAGGGTTAGGGAAAGGGGAGGGGGTCCCAAGAGAGAGCCAGGGGAGGGGACTTCAGGAGATGGCCAGGGAGAGGGGAGGGGACTCCAGGAGAGGATCAGGGGAAGGGACGGGGCTTCAGGAGAGGGTCTGAGAACACATGGGCAGGCAACACCTTAAAATCCCATCTCAGTCAGGAATGACTCCTCATAGGGCCACCGCGAGCTTAAATGTCAGAGACATGGTCAGCACCTCACTGTGTGAACATGCTTTATACAGAGAGTCAGCACCACACCGTGTGAACATGCTTCATACAGAGAGTCAGCACCACACTGTGTGAACATGCTTTATACAGAGAGTCAGCACCACACCATGTGAACACGCTTCATACAGAGGGTCAGCACTGTACCGTGTGAACACGCTTCATACAGAGGGTCAGCACTGTACCGTGTGAACATGCTTCATACACAGGGTCAGTACTGTACCATGTGAACATGCTTCATACACAGGGTCAGCACTGTACCGTGTGAACACGCTTCATACAGAGGGTCAGCACTGTACCATGTGAACACGCTTCATACAGAGGGTCAGCACTGTACTGTGTGAACACGCTTCATACGGAGGGTCAGCACTGCGCCGTGTCAACACGCTTCATACAGAGGGTCAGCACTGTACCGTGTGAACACGCTTCATACGGAGGGTCAGCACTGCGCCGTGTCAACACGCTTCATACACAGGGTCAGCACTGTACCGTGTGAACATGCTTCATACGGAGGGTCAGCACTGTGCCGTGTCAACACACTTCATACAGAGGGTCAGTACTGTACCGTGTGAACACGCTTCATACAGAGGGTCAGCACTGTACCGTGTGAACATGCTTCATACACAGGGTCAGTACTGTACCGTGTGAACATGCTTCATACACAGGGTCAGCACTGTACC